TAATTAGAAATGCTTACCCAAGTTTCTTAACTATTTTAACATCTCTAAGATCTACACTAGTGGCTGTGGCTGGGTCAATCACTTTCATCACTGCATTTACACTCATTGGAGAAAGCAGACTTGAATACTGAGAGACAACCTAGAATGAAAAAAAAAAAAACGTCAGCTACACAATAGACAACGCCTTGCTTCTTTACTGACAAAGATATTCAAAAAGTAATCTTAAATCACTTTTTTTGGTGGTGGGGACATGAGGGCTTTCCTCTTTCATTAATACAGTAGATGGACTGTCAAGATTACTAACAATTCTATAGGAAATCCTAAAAGCAAATTAATTTTAAGTGTAGCCTTCCTAACTAACATGAATTTATGATCAGAAGCTATGTATGTGGACCTCTAATACTGAGGAGCTGATAAAAACAGCTAATGACTAACATATTGAACACTTTTATGCCAAGCAGTGGTCTTAGTACTTTACATTTATATACTCATTCAACCTTCCAATGAAGAAACTGAAATAGTCAAACAGCTTAGTTAAGTGATTGAACCCAAGTAGTCTACACTCTATGACCAATGTTGTATTAATAACTAATAATTATGCTATTCTGCATTAGCTCTTGGGACATTCAATAATATCACTAATATCATCTAGCTCTCCACTAAACATTTGAAGAAAATGAATGTTTCGATATAATGCTAATGAAAAAGAATGGGTGTTTGTGTGACATAGGATATGACAGAAAACAGGCGACATGAGTTCCCAAGAAATTTAAAAGAACACCACTGCTTTAAATTTCATAACTAAGAAGCAGCACAGATATTAGTTAAGAGATGGACTATGGATGGGCAACCCTGTTCTGGTTTCAAATCTCAGTTCTACCCCTTATTAGTGGGTTTTGGATCAGTTATTTAACTTCACTAGATCTATTTTCCCATCTGTAAAACGGAGATACAATTTGTTTGAAAGCCTTGCAGTAAATTTTATTTGAATTCAGTTATACAAATTACCTTAGTTACCTAGTCACTCTTGAGGCTTAACATTTATGAACTGTACAGCATCAAACAAAAATCACAGCCTATGAGTTGTGGTTCTTAACAAAACTTAAACGGTAATTTTACAATGATCCCTTAATGCGTGTCTCACCTTTGAGTTCAATGAAGTGGTTGCACTATTTAACAAAGTTTCTCTATCACTCAGTTCCACAGGTCGAGACATGTCAGTTAAGATTTCAATACCCTTTTCCAAAGCCTTCTGGAATGACTCGGAAATGATGGTTGGATGAATCCCTGTTATTTGCAAAAATCTAGTCATTTAACTATAACAGATAAGCTACATATTTAACACAATTAAGAATTTTCTATTCATTAAAATGTCAAAGCAGTCATATATTTTAATTATCTATAGATTAATTTATGATGCAGTTATAATGATTTGAATAATCTTAACTGTTAATCATGTCTAATAATTTACTTCCATTTAATTTGGAACAGACCGATTATATCACATATGATATTTAAAACTGAAACCAAAATTTTATTCTTTTAAAAACATCACAAATCTACATAATAAGTAGAATAAGTAACTGGAGAGTCACTACTGTGATTAGGCAATATTTAATAGAGCAAGAACCCATACTTTCTCTCCCAAATCACCATTCTCATCCAGACTTAAGATTAGTAACACCATCACCACTTATTTTTGAAAAGCAAAATTCTATCAAGCTCCATTAAAAAAAAAAAAAAGCTTGGCAAAAAAGAGACAAAAGAAAAAAACTTTCTAATTCATATAATAAAAAGCAAAACTTAATGTATAAATTCCTAGCAAAAAGGTTATTCCAAGTTAAATCTGAAACCTCACATTACTTAATAACTTTTGGCGTTTACTCAGTAATAAAGCATGTTCTATGTTCTACCTACCTTTCTGAAGAAGCTTGGTACAGCAATCTAAGAGAGAGCCAGCAATGATGACCACTGATGTGGTGCCGTCTCCTGCTTCTATATCTTGTGCCTTAGACAGCTCCACCAGCTAAGTGAACAGAACACGCTGTTATTCAATGAGAAATGTGAGAATCCAATAACATCAAATTCAAATATAAAAAGAATGGCCTTCACACATCAGTGTCATAATTTGATCAACACTGTAAGATTCAATATAATTCTTAACTTTTGATTTGTTGTCTACCTTGGGTTTCATTTTATTTTATTTTATTTTTTTTTAAGCTGAGCCATCCTGCTACCTGTTGGCAGCTCAGCGGCTGCTCAGCTCGGGCTGGACTCGAACCGCTGTTGCTCAGAGCTCAAACTCTTGAGCGAGCTCTTAACCAACTGAGCCACTCGGCCGGCCCTTTGGGGTTTCATTTTAAAATGATACCTGATATATTTGTGGAACACAAAATTTGACTTATATACTCTTTAAGTATATAAATTATACTAAGTAATAATTTATAATTATTAAAGTATATAATTTATAATGTATAAGTATATACAGTATACTTTCTGGTTCAGACTGTGGGTTATAAGTTTTTGCTTCCTGTCAGAAAGTATAAATGATGCTGTACTATGGGTACCTTGTAGACTTGGAAGCTATGAAATGGGGCATTCCAGATGATAGTAGAGTGTCAGTTTGGAGTCTTTTGCTAAGTTTATCTGAACTGTCCCTGTATAAACATTATTTGATTCACTTAAAAAATCATCTTTACATAATTAAAAGGGACTTTTTGATAGATAGGATTTTCTTTTTACTGATATGGTGACTTCTCACTTTGACACTGGAATCATCATTATGATCTTTAGCTGAATTGGCAATTGTTTTTAATAAAATCATTGTAAGTTTAGAACATGCTTTTACACACAATTATTTTTCTCTCTTCCAGCTAACACCCCACTGAATTAATAATTTTTACCATTTCATGTTTTTATCTCTTCCTTCCTCAACTGTATGGCACATTCCTGTAGAGAAGGACAGGGACCTTGCACTGAAGAGCACAATGCTAAACACAATGTATCCTAAAAATACACGTTTAGCCTAATGAGAAAAAATTTCACAATCCTTAAATATCATGTGATCAAATAAAATAAATGTAACTGTTTACCAAATGTTGACCATACCTCATCTAAAAACCCACCTTATCTAAAATTATACTTACCATTCTGGCTGCTGGATGTAACACTTGCATTTGTTTCAGAATGGTGGCACCATCATTTGTAATGGTCACATCGCCTTTTCCATCTTGAATCTGGAAAGTTGTTTTTTTTTAAAAAACAAAGATGTGATTTCAAAAACTTTGTTTTCTTAACCCAGCATAAATGTGACACCCTAAAAGCTCTACTAATTTTACTACTTCTTGGTAGAGAAGTTAATTTGTTTGCATAGCTTACAACTGTGCTTAATTTCAAACTTTCTTCCCTTATTACATTAGTATGATTAAGAATATGCACAGTAGTCAACTTTACAAGGGAAACAGCTGGCTTTGTTACAGCTATTTTTTCTTTGTGTAAAAGAGAAGGAATCTAGACACTAAAAAAGGTAGGAAAAATGCTATAAAGAATAACTATCATTCCTGAGTTCATACTGATAATAAGAAATAGTACCACAGATCCCCCAAAAGAGCACCAAGAATGTGGTGAACTTTTTTTTCCCCATTGAATATTAGGTATTCTTTTCTTAAATAAATTTTGTATTTTTCATTTACCATTGATATACAATACTTGTTTCAGGTGTGCAACATAGTGATTAGACATTTATGTAACTTACAAAGTGGTGAACGCAATTCTTATACTCAACACAGTAACTTATTTCTTAGTATCCTGAGTAAAAGGCAAAAAGCATTACTAGCAATGACAAATGTTTAAACATCCAGAAGGAATAATGATCTGTAGATTATCCAGAAAATGCTCCACCTTGTTTCCTTACCTCTCATTTTGGAAGTTAACTAGCAGTGAATTTGAGGGTCTATTACTTAAAAAGCCATTGGAATGCATCTGTTTTATGCTGCCAGTCAAGAACACTAGATATAGAGTTGAAACCTCACAGACCTGTGTAAGGTCAGAGTTACATCAATAAAGAGTACTGAACTTAAGCCCTTATACCTACCTTTACTGTACTTTTCTATCTAACTACACAACAGATAACTACTTTTTGTGTATATACTTTCAGTTTAAAAATCATTAAACAAACAAAATAGGAATTATAGTCAATTATAGATTACACCCCCCAGTAATCTATCAGTCTTCTGAACTCTCTAAGTGCCTTCCTCACACTTTTTACTTTTTTTTTTAAAGATTTTTATTGGGGAATTGGGGGAAGGGGAACAGACAAGTTATTGTCCTTTGTTCTTCAGTCTAGTTGTGGAGGACGTTGTTTCACTGGCCCAAGTTAGCACCATCATTGCGCTCTTCCTGGGCGAGGCAGGTCAGTTGCTGGCTTCTGGACGGCTGCTCACTCAGTTGCTGGCTACATAAGGTAGCCCACGGCAGCCCAGCTCCAGGTTGAGCTGTTGTTCAACATCTTAGCTGTAGAGGGCAGTGTCACTGGCCCTCATATGTGGGATCCGAACGGGG